AATAAACTTTGCTGTTCCATAATAGGTGTGAACTTAAATTCTACTTAAGTTGTTCCATTCTCCTCTTTTGTACATGTCTAAGCATGCACTGAGGAGGAATTTTGCTGAAGTAGCAAATTATTTTTGCAATTGACCACAAATTTTCATAGTGGTTTTTGTAGAAATTAGAATACGTTATATTGCAAGCAAACTTTCTGGATTTGTGGAATAAAAAAAGAGGATGGATGTAAAAATCAAATTTTAACAAAATTTATTACTCATGTGAGTGAATATTTTTTTTAAAACAAGTTATTTAGTGCAGAAGTAGAACAATTCAAAACTAGTGTACTTTGTAATATTATAGAATCCTTTTTTTTTCCTGATCGAAACCCATATGGTAATTTTTGACCACTTTCACCAAGTTTGTAAACCATTTTTTGTAATGTATATCTTGGTTTTAAAGGTAACTATTTGTATGTTGCCTGCTTTTAGGACATGAATGTAAAGCTGTATATAAAGTTGATGAATGACCAAATTAAAGGTGCCAAAAAAATCAAAATAGAGATTTGGGCCTTAATACATCTGAGAGTTTTAAGATACTGTATTTTGCTGTATACAGAATGGTGAAAGGTTTGTGTTCTGATTTATTTCAAGGGCTGCTGCTTTCTGCTGATATAAACATACGGTGTGGCGTAGCTGTCAGAACTGAAAACTGGCTATAATGAGAATAAACAGTAAGTTCAGTTTCTATGAAGATTTCTGCCATACAGCTGCTGTTTCCTGTTGCCCAAAAGAGGTCAGTGTGTCTCCCATATGCTAAAAGTTAAACGTAAAATCCCAATATAAAACTTGAGCGTGATCTCGCAGTGATGTTCTCTGGCCGCCAGTTGTAACATAGTACATAAAATTTTAAGAATCCTGCTGTACCCTGATTTCTTTCTTCACTGGATAACATTTTATATTTTGTACATGAATTATTTTAAAATACAAATTTGGTATGCAGATACAAATTTAGAATACAAGTTTGCATGTTCAACAGTGTTTTGATTTATGAGTGAATAGCTGCCCAAAGACACATTAAAATGCAGTAGTCTGTTTTTTGGCTAAGAGGGTGAGAAGAAAAAAGTAAGACATACCACTAGACTGATTGTTTGCTTCAGAGAAAAATAGTTTTTTTCCCCAATATATTACGCCAAATAAAATTTATTTTGGTGACAGAAAAGTCAGATATAATGCACTCACACCAGAAGAGTTTGTTACCCCTGAGCAAAGTATTAGAGGAAAGATTGGATCCAGGTGGTTGTGGTACTGGTGACAGTCTTTTGCTCTGTGCAAGGAGACTGGGAGATTTTGAAAAATAAAAATTGTCAGGCATATATAAGGCCAGTGTTTTTGTAATTTTGGAATAGGTGTTTATACTTGTTTACATCTGTTCATGAAAATGACCTGTTACTGGCATTTCTTCCATTTGAATTGCAACATTTAAAACTTCCACTGAAATAATTCTTTACTGGCTGTTTCATTTAGTAGTGCAAATGAGCTTATCTGAGTTTTCTTGAAAGTTCATGACATTGCCTTTAATAAATGGGTATTGCAGGGAAAAATGGTTATGTTATCTCTACATATGCATATCAGCTTCTTAAATGTCAGATCAAATAGCAGATTTATTTCTTCTTATGATGCTGTAGAGGTAGAAAATGGAGGATATGAAGTCTATAGGTACTTTTGTACAATTTATTTGAATGTAGTCAATAAAAACAGGGTCACTCCAGAAAGTGAATGCTTAATGAGTTTCCTCTCTTAAAGATGAAAGGGAAATATGACTTCAGTTGAGTGTTATGGTAGCGAATTTTTTATCTATCCATGAAAAGATAGAGGAAAACAATCCCCCCCAGACACAGAGAGAGAACTGTAAAAAAAAAAAAAAAAAAAAAAAAAAAAAAGTAAAAATCACTTGAAGATGGAAAATGTATTATACTGTATTAACTTAGGTGTACAAAATTCTTCTTTTTAATGTATTTTCTGGACCGTTTTCTGAAATTTACTTCAACTTGGAAAATGTCAACAAATCTTTAATGGTATTTGAAATTTGTCAGTTTCACTGTCAACTCTTAAGCTACATTTTAAGATAATGTTCATAAATCCTCTCTATACTTCCTCAAAACTGTTCCTGTAGGAAGCTTTCCTTTCCATCTCACAACTTATGCTGCGTGTGTGTTACCTTACTACTTTGCGGTGTAGTATTGAAGGTCATTGATTAGTTAACAATGGATTTATCCTTGAGTTTTTAGGATTCAAGTGCTAGAGGTCTTTATCTTTGCAAGACTCTAGGTCCCAGTGACTTAGTTAAATCTGCAGTGTTGGTATACTCTTAAGAGTGAATAAGCAACAAATAAAAACCCAAGTTTTTAATTTATTTTAATGGCAATAGCGGGGTGTATTCCAAAGATCTGATGTTTGGGCAGTAAGGTTCTGAAAGCTACGTAAATGGAGACTAAAAGTAGGAAAATACTAAGGAAAGGATGACTAGATAGTGTGTATTCATTTCAACCATATGGGACCAAGACAAGTAATATTTTATCCCTAAGATTCGTAAAAGTGTTTTTTCTCTTATTATCTTCTGTTGTCTTTGGCAGTCTTGCCATAGTACTACGTAAAATGGGTGACTATCAGCAAGCGAAGGAGATGTTTGAAATGGTTCTTGTCTTGTAAGAAGTTCTGTACAACTGACAATGTGATGATAAATTCAAGTCAGTGTTTTACCTGCAGCCAATAGTGAAATCTTTGAGCATAGTTGCATTTGTCATTATTAAGGAAAGCTGTAAAAGTATGTTACCTTGCATTTGTTACAGGTTAAGGAAAATACACATGAAAAATTGTGTTAGCTCACACTATTCATAATAGTTGACTATGAACCTGAGCCTTGAGAACACTTACCATGGTTTGCGTAGGGCATCCAGAGAAATTGCAGACCTGTATTTATTTCTAGACTGACTGAGAAGAAGCAGTTCTCAGCAGCGCTGGTTGTGAACTTTAAGATATTCTCTCTTGTTCCCTGACCAAGTAATAGAATTATCACAAAAACTTCAAAATACCAAATCACCTATTGCTTTCAGGTTATATTCACTTGCCAGAAAACAAAAATCCTGTCTTTTTAGCCAGTGATACAGGACTTACTGATGTGATTAATAACAATATTTACCTGTCCAAGATGGGGCATGTGTTAGTGTATGTCATGTTTGTCAGACTTCAGGTGTGATCTTACAGCGTGGATTGAGCTCTTTGTCCTTTATCCCAACATCATATAAGTAAATCAAAGTTTCATGTTAACTCTTATGTCATTTCTGTGATTAGACCTGATGAATGTAAAGAAATTAAATAATTCTTACACATCCCTTAAACTACTCTTGTGATGGCTGAAATCTTTGTAGTTGATTATCCTGCAGCTTCCTTAAAAGTTGACTGACTTCTGGGTTTGAAGGGAAACAATTCTACATCCTGGGCGTGTCCAAAGCCTTGTGTGGTACCTGCCTAATCAGGTAGGTACTAAACCTTTCATGTCTCATCTTAACTTTGGTCATGTTGTATATTTTTATTGGTAATTGACTGATCAACCTCTTCATATGTTAAAGCATGTTTCAGTATGGCAGTAGTAGCATCCATCCTTATTGGATTTGTAGGGAATGTTCCGGCTTCTGATGAACATCGGTTTTAGTTGTCTTCAGAGTTGGAAGTACTTCTTCAATGCTGTCTTGAGACAGCTGAAACTCTTCATTCCACTATTCAATGAATATAGTGCTCGCTTAATCATCCTGAATAGCTTGAAGGCAAGGAGATCTATGCAAGAATTAGAGTTGATGTTGAAGCACATGCTGTCAGTTTTTTGAATCTTGTATATGAAGAAGTCCCTTCAAAATTAGTGGGTCT